CAATTTCTGATGAAAAGAAACAAATCAAGGAAAAGAAATAACGGGCACTGTTTATGAATTTGTACAACGATTTTGGGTTGCTGAGCCCAAACGCGTGAATCGATTCAAAAAACTTTTACACACACTTGTAGACAACAGTTCACGCTCTATTACAAAAATTTAATTTACCAAATCTGTGCACTAATTTAACAATAATGTCGGTTGGAAATGTGGTATTTGTTGCAAATTTTTCTTATAAATTTGTATATACATTTTTATATACAAGATATTTTTATAAAACACCAAAATAGACATCACTGGGGCGGCAGCCCCAGGTTTACCACACAGAAAGGGAATTCTAGTTACCTCATCCTTTCCCAAGGTTACATCACTGGGGCGGTAGCGGCGTCAATCCTCTTTCGTTTAGGGGGGATTTGTGGGCCCCACAACACCTCCTCCTCCGCCCCCACCCCTAAATCGTTGTACAAATAGCTAAACATTTCCCGAAATAACAAATAGTAGGAATTGGTAATTAAGTTAAATAATTAAAATTTTTCAGAAACAAAATCGAAAGGCGATATATAAAAAATGTACGAAAAGAGGAAATGTCTGGCAACACCAGCAAAGTTTTGAGACGATTTTGCGACGACTGCTAGAAAGGGGTGCTCACAGTTTGATGCTAAAGATGTCTCAAAATGTAGACGTCTACATTTTCGGACATAATTTGGAACGAACTGTGAACACCCCATATCAGAAATGTGTAAACGAGTTTCCATACAAATTTTGACAGTTCATTTATAAGGTTTACACAATTATAAGTTTATACGGTTTACAATGCATTTATAAGGTTTGATGAATACCCTTATTATAAAGGCAAATAAGATAAGCACTATTTTATTATGAGTTTAATAGCAATTATGAGTTTGATGTGTGCAGCGTAAGAATATTGGGAAAATTTTAGTGAAAAAACCCGAAAAAGNTAAGTTTATACGGTTTACAATGCATTTATAAGGCTTGATGAATACCCTTATTATAAAGGCAAATAAGATAAGCCCTATTTTATTATGAGTTTAATAGCAATTATGAGTTTGATGTGTGCAGCGTAAGAATATTGGGAAAATTTTAGTGAAAAAACCCGAAAAAGAAAATTTAGGCGTCTAGGGGGGGAATACTTTGATTCTAAAAGTGAAGACCCCAACCCGCGCCCACTTATAGTTTTTAAGTAATTTGTTGCTAAGCTGCGAAATTCACCAAATATGCTGATGCAAATTGCATCGATTTTATTATCCGAAATTGCGTGAAATAGATAAATGTGACTTAAATGTAAGCACTTTTAAGGAACAAGTTGAGTTGAGGAAAGAAAATGAAAAAGAGGGCGTGGTCCGCCCCTTTTTACTGAATTAAAAAGTAACCATTTTTGCTGGAAATTAATAGGGGAGGAGCTAGAGGGGGTACGCTTTACGAATTTGTACAACGATTTTGGGTTGCTGTGCCCAAACGCGTGAATCGAATCAAAAAACTTTTACACACACTTGTAGACAACAGTTCACGCTTTATTACAAAAATTTAATTTACTAAATCTGTGCACTAATTTAACAATAATGTCGGTTGGAAATATGGTATTTGTTGCAAATTTTTGTTATAAATTTGTATATACATGTTTATATACAAGATAAGACAGCCCCAGGTTTATCACACAGAAAGGGAATGCTAGTTACCTCATCCTTTCCCAAGGTTTTTCCTTGCAAAAAATCTAAAATTCCCTATTTTCAAACAGCTCCCAAGGGGTTTTTAGGGGGGGAGGGGGGTGAGGGGTGACTTTTCATAAAGCGGCGTTCATCCTCCTTCGTTTAGGGGGGGTTTGGGGAGCCACACCCCCTCCCCCTCCGCCCCCCACCCCTAAATCGTTGTACAAATAGCTAAAGATTTCCCGCTAGAGGGGGTAAAGGTGGAATTTTCAATATTTTCAAAAGCTTATATTTTGAAATTTATTGCACCGAAATGTTAATATGGTTTGAAAGATAATAGAAAAACCTTTTATTTGATATACATATTTACAGTATCGGTCATATCTATAGCACGCCATTTCAAAGTGATATTGTGTGCCACTTATGTTTATTTATTAATTTTTAAGAATTTTCAATTAAAATATAGTTCATTCTCAGACAAACCCGATAGAAACCCAAGCTTAATAATATGTAGAAAGCTACAAAAAAGTAAAAATTTTCACATAAATTTCAAACTTTTTTCTCGGAAGTGTTAGAATTTTTTTGTGTAGTCCCTTCAATTTTAGTCTGATAATGGGCAAATTTGAAGTGGCTACGAATTACCGTTTATTTTTTAGAATTTTTTTTGTCGCATTGGCTTCCATATAATGAATAAACTCAATTTATTTGTATATGGAAGAAATCCGCAACACCTTTGGCGAAAAAGATTCTAAAAATTCAACGGTAACTTTTAGCCGCTTGAAACTTGCACATATTAGACTAAAATTGAAGGGGCTAAAAAACTGTGTACTCAAAAAAATTCTTACACTTCCGAGAAAAAAGTTTGAAATTTAGGTGAAAATTTGTTGCACTATTTTGTAGTTTTCTACAAATTGTTACACTTGGGTTTAAATGGGGTGTGTCTGAGAATGAACTGTATTTTAATTGAAAATTCTTAAAAATAAATAAATAAACATAAGCGGCACACAATATCACTTTGAAATGGCGTGCTATAGATATGACCGATACTGTATATATTTATTTTATTTTTTATATTTACTTCTAAGCTGTATTTATGAGAGTTGCCAAGTGCTTAAAAAAAAATTAATTCAAATTAATTCATCAGTTAATTGAAATATATATAACAATGCCAGGCTTAAATTTTTTCTGAAAATACTTTTAAAGGGGTTGCGACCTGTTTGAAAAGTCGAATTTGTTTTACTCATACGAAAGATACATAAATGAAATATCGAAATATTAGTGCCAAACGAAAGAGTTTTAAGAAAACTATAGGCTGATAGTAGTCATAATAGCTATTAAACTCATAATAAAATAACAATTTGCAACTTTAATAACAAATTACTCGTAAACTATGAGTTTCCTCGCCGTCCCGTTTTCAGTTTTGTGATGTGTACGACCCCCTCTACACCCCCCATAAAGTCATTTTGTTCCAAGCGTGGTGCACTCTCGCGAAGTCAACCCAATTTGAGTACTTAATAGGAAGTTATCTTTTACTAGACTAATCTTCGCAAAGAACTCGAGAAGTGTAAACATCCAAATAGTCGGAAAACAAAGGCCTTAAGTAAAAAAGCACGTCGGCAAAATAACAAACACAAAACGCGATTAGGTCATGCAATCAAAAGCAATATAATGGGAGAGAAGCTCAGTTGGTTCTTGGAGCATATTGAGGAAGGCCGTTCCGATCCACTTACGCCCCAGGAATTTGAAGATCTTATGGCTTTGTATCTAAGACGTTTCGACGGAGAACTTGCACAAATTGCACTAAAGCATTCGATTAGCAAGAATCGTTCCAAACAACATGCAGCTCGAGAAGGTGTCATCAGAATAACCCTAGAAAAAGAACGCAATGAATACCAAAGCGGAGGGATGGGTTAGTTTTCAAAAATATGTATAAAATTATTTTTGCAACTCTACTTTTTAACAGAACTACTGAATCTCTGCGACCCTTTAAAGTTTAAATCGCTAATAGACTGGGACGGAAGTGCGCTTAGTGTACAACATTTAAAATTAGATCTTGTCTCGTTTAACATGTTACAGCGTCTAAAAAATGTAACTGACATAAATATTGATACGTATCCGGCAGTAGATAAAGACACACCAGCTTCTAGCGTGACCTCATCTAAATCGGTAGTAATGGAAAGGACAGCCTGTTTAAGTAGAATAAAGTATTCCCAAACGCACGCCCCGCAGTAGAATTCCCACAATCGCTACGCTAAATTTTCGTCGCCAAATTTGTCTGAATGAAAAGCATTGGGACTTAAATGTATATAACATGGAAAAATAACATGCGGTGTGTAATCAGTAAAATCTTGTAACTAAATGTTGCATATTGTTAGACGCGCCTGCTATACTTTTAGAGATTTTTGGTGAATAAAATTAGGGATAGCTAATGTTTGAATCTGTTTGCTGGTCGGATATTAATATGTGTCGTTTGTAAATTTAAGCCCTATACACCTACATATTGTATGTATAGATGAAGTTATTGATTTTTTCCTAGATATATTATTGCAAAATATAAAAATATTAAATCGCATACAGGAGTAGTTGATGTACATATTTTTCCATTAATCGCCTCGTATGACAGTATCACCATCAAGTTTTTTGAGCAAGGGCAAGCGACGGATAGCTTCACTTCGAAAGACCAATTCATCCATGTTTTCGTTGAGAATATTTCCAAGAAAAGAAATTTCTTCCAACTTTGGTGCTGCAGCCATGCGATTGAACTCTGTCCAATCTTTGATGAGGTTATGGGAGATGTAAAACACGCGCAACGTTTTCATCGATTCTATGGGTTTAATTTTTTCAATGATATTATAACTAACCCACAACTCTTCCAGTGTTTCTCCCAGTGCTTCCTATTAGCATTATAATCATTATGCAGAAACCATTTTTTTCTTTTAGTCACTTACAATACCATTAATACTTTTCAAGTTGTTTCTTGCCAATGAAAGTATCCGAAGATTTTTAAGCTGATTAATACCAGTTATCTTTTCGATCATATTTGAAGAAAGGCTAAGCTTTCCGCAGTTGACAAGGGTGTTAAGAGTGCTATCCATTTTTTCGATTGGTGGATACTGAAACTGTAATCCAATATCGGTCACGGTAATGGGATTCTTGCCGTTATTTTCCTCCCAAATACGGAGTGCATCCTTAATGGTGGTAGGCTTGGCCATTAGGCAACTAAATGTATTTCCTTAAAGAAAATTGAATTTCTTTTTATAAATATTTTTCTAAACGTCAGAAACAAAATATTGGACAAAGTTAAATGGCCTTATTCATAATAAATTAAATATCTTCAAAAAGCTGAATAAAGTAACATATTCATAAAAAATTTCGATTTATAAAGCATTTAATAGCCTTATTCTGTATCACCAACGATAGGCAACACGAACGATTCGTCTGCAGAGGAATGCTTCAAAAGTTAGTCCGGCGGCATCATTTTAGCCGGCTTAAACGCAACCGAGACCATTGCAACGTAATGTATGAAAAGCAAGACAAAGACGACCGATAGAGTTTAAAATCGCAATCAAAGAGGTTGTCGTCTGCAGACGAATCGCTCGTTTTGCCTATCGTTCGTGATGAAGAATAAGGCCCTAAGTCTTCTTTATTTTAGATGATCTAATACAGCGCTGCTCAAAATTTTTAAATTGAAGTGAAATTACAATCTCTTCTTTTTTGTTGGCGCTGTAACCGCCTAAGCGATTTTGGCCGAGTCCAAAGCAGCACGCCAGTCATTTCTCTTCTGTGCTAACTGACGCCAATTGGCAATGCCAAGTGAAGCCAAGTCCTTCTCCACCTGGTCTTTCCAACGCAGAGAAGGCCTTCCTCTTCCTCTGTTACCAGCATCGCGGCCCGCGTTTAATATCTTCAGAGCAGGAGCGTTTCTGTCCATTCGAACGACATGGCCAAGCCAGCGGAGCCGCTGAATTTTATTTCGCTGCACTATGCACTATATCGTTGTAAAGCTCATACAGCTCATCGTTAAATCATCTGCGATATTCGCCATCACCAACGCGTAAAGGTCCGTAAATCTTTCGCAGAATCTTTCTCTTGAAAACTCTAAGAGCCGCCTCATCAGATGCTTTCATTGTCCATGCCTCCGCGCCATACACCAGCACAGGCATGATGAGTGACTTAAAAGAGTGTGATCTTTGTACGACGAGAGAGGACTTAACTTCTCAATTCCCGAGAAGGCAGAAAAGACGTAGCCCTTGTTTTTACCGATAATATCGATGTCGTCGGCATACGCCAGCAATCGTACGCTCTTGTAAAGTATTGTGCCTGAGCGGTTCAGTTCTGCGGCTCTGATTATCTTTTCGAAACATCAGATTAAAGAAATCACACGAAAGGGAGTCCCATTGTCTGAAACCTCGTTTGGTATCAAACGGCTCGGAGAGGTCCTTCCCTATTCTGGTGGTATTGCTCAACGTCATTTTACACAGCCGTATTAGTTTCGCGGGGATACCAAATTCAGACATCGCGGCATAAAGGCAACTTCTCTTCGTGCTGTCGTGCGGCTTTGAAATCGACAAATAGCTGGTGTGTGTCGATCCTATTCTCGCGGGTCTTTTCCAAGATTTGGCGTATTGTGAATACCTGATCTATGGTGGATTTTCCAGGCCTTAAGCCACACTGATAAAGTCCAATCAGTTCGTTGACGGCAGGCTTCAGTCTTTCGCACATACACTCGAAAAGACCTTATAACCTATGCTCAGAACATTCCCACGACAGCCGGTTCTACGTACCGGAATGATTCGGG